AGTGACCCTGTAAACAACAGTTTTGAACCCAGTCCTGTCCTGTGCCATCCTCATCATCTCTGACACACTTGAGCCTGCTGCTGTAGTCACTGTGTCAGTGCAACTTAGTGAGCTTCTACCTCTGACGCTCCACCTTTCCATGATGTCTTGTTTCCAAGGACTGGAGATGAAGTTTCACCATCTTTGCTTCTAAGCAGCACCCTGGTTGCACTTCCTACAAGATAGATTTGTTCTTTTGGCAGTCCATGACATGTTCAGTACTCTTCTATACCACCACAAACCCAAGGCATTGATCCCTCTTTTGTCATTCTTTCAGATGTATAGCAAATAATTCCTCAGAAAGAGGCCTGGTAATTTACTTCCAATCAGCCGCTGAAAAGCCCATGGAGAGCATTTCTGTTCTAACATCCATGGGACCTGTCACCATAAATTGAAGTTAACACAATGGCATTTAAGTCGAGCAAACCCCTAAGAGCAGTACTACAGACGTGTGGAAATAGTAAGATGCATATTTAGTAGCTCGTGGAAACAGGTGTTTTCTCTGTTCATTCCTGTTCCAGGGCCAAGTTCATGACATAAATCATGTTTGGCTCTGCACTCCCATAACCTGAATTTCAGATTTTAGCTGTTACTAACTGTAACCTTGGGCTATTTACTATTTCTCTAAACCTCAGCTTTCACATCTACAAAGTGAAGGCATTATAAAGATGGTGTATGCAAAACACCTGGAACAAAGCTTGGTGGAAAGTGAGAATTCTCCCTACATGTCCATTGGTTTCAAAACACCTTATTTATTCACCAAAGAAGACATTCAGATGGCAAACACATACATGAAGAAAACCTCAAAATCCCTAGTTATCAGAGGGATGCAAATCAGAACAACTGTGAGATACTATCTCACCCCAGCAGCAATAGCAACGTTTAAGAGGGCAGCAAACAACAAATGCTGGAGAAGTTGTGGGGATCTTGAAAAACTTATTTACTGATGGTGGGAATGTAAAATTGTACAGCCTCTTATGGAAGGTGGTCTGGCACTTTCTCCAAAAATTGAAGGTAGAAATATCATTTGGCCCAGCAATTCCAGTAAAGAGAATATACCGTAAAGAATACCCATGTTTAGTGCTGTGTTATTCACATTAGCCAAAAGGTGGAAGCAACCCAAGTGCCTGTGAACAAATGAATGGCTAGAAATACTGTGTTACATTCATACAATGTAATATTACACAACCTTAAAAAACAATTAACTTGTAAAACACTACACAACATGGGTGAGCCTGGAGGACATTACACTGAGTGAAATATCTGTCACAAAAGGACACATACTGCATAACACTGCTGTTACAAGATAGGATTGACTGTAGGATGGGGAGAAGAGGAAAATAGTGTATAGAAAATGAACAGTGAATTGAACAGATGAGGGGAAGACCTGTCTGAAAGGAAAAGATTATTAGGAATTTCACATATGGCAACATGTGCAACAATAAATTTTTTAAAAAGATGCTTTATTTAAAAGTTGAGAGGCATTGGGGGTTCAGAGACAGCATTCTCACCTCTCATGTGAAAGAGTGCGGTTTGAATCCCAGCCAGTGTATCTCATGTACAGCCCACACACCAGTCAGATGGGGCTTGTGTGCTGCTCTTGTGCTCAAGTGTAGATGAGCATCTAGACTAAGGTTAGGAAGAAAAACCTGGTGAGACATTGATGTCAACATTGAAAGCCAGGGGACCACAGAGGTCTGAGCTATAGCTGAGCACAGGCACAGTGCAGAGGCAGGGCTCTTCTCCATCCACTGTGGCTGGGGCCACTGAAGGGTAACACTGGTGAAACTTCAGGATAACTTTCCCAACATTGAAAAGTCATCCAAGCGCCATCTCTTGCTTTCAGTTTTAAGTGAAAAGCAAACACCAGGGCTAGCTCTTGGTCTCTTTATTAAGCACGTATTAAAACCAAACACTGGCATTGCCAGGCTACGAGATTGGAGAGACTGATCTGTTTTGCCCTTAAGGAGTTGTAGCTTTAGGTGGGGGAAAACCACACCAAACCCCTCCTTCCAGGGATGGACTCTGACACTGTATTTGCATAAGTGTGTTTAGGCCCCAGTTGAGGCAATCAGAGGTTCTGAGTGCTACCAAAAATTTCCAGGTAGCTTGCTGGGCAGTAGGAGTGGCTGGCAGGTGCCTTAAAGAACAAGCTAAGCGGCCGAGGAATGGGAGAACTGTAGGGAGAACCCCTGTACAAGGCCTTCTGAAGTGAAGGCATCCAGGGAGGAGAGGTGTTACGTAATTTGGAGGGGCAGAGTTGGGAAGAGCTGCAGATGAACCCTACATACACAGCAGGTATCAGGATTCAGAGCAGTCTGCACCCACGGGTGCTGTCTGCATTGAAGGGCCAGTTGTTGCTACTGGTCAATTCTCTAAGTGGAAAGAAAAGCAAGAAAAGAGAATTGGGGAGCAAGCTGTTCAACATCTAGCATCAAATCCTTGGGTGTATCTCATGGATACCCTTCTAGTGACACAGGAAATCTTAGTTGTGAAGTTGGTTCTATTCTCATTCTAATCCATGCTTTTTTGTGTGTAATCATTTTTTAAAATTAATTTTAATGAACGTTTACAGAGACTTAGGGTTTCCAGTCATTCATTGTTACACTTTTCTTCCTGCCCACCTCCTCCCCCCCACAAATTCACTCTTCTCCTTGGAAAAAAAACCCAAAAATCAAAACACCCAACTCTTTCATTGCTATGCAATCCCTCCCCCCCAAGTTCACTCCACTGGGCAGCCTTCACTCTGGACTCCTCCTGTCAATGACAATAATACCTAATCATATATCCCTTTTAAGCAGTTCTCTCCCTCATCTGATTCAATGCAGTATACATCCTTCCTCCCCTCCTTTTCTGTCTTCCTTCAACCTCAATTTCAGTCCCATTTTACAACAGTGGCCCTATGCAGTATGTGTCCTTTTGTGACTGTGATATCCCACTCAGCATAATGTCCTCCAGGTTCATCCTTTTTGTATATTTCATGAGTTCCTCATTTTTCAATGCTGCATAGTATCCCATTGTGTGAGTGTGAATGTTCCACAACTTCTCTATCCATTTGTTGATGGGCACTTAGGGTGTTTCCAGCTCTTTGCTATTGCGAACAAAGCCGCAATAAACATGGGTGTACATATATCTGCTTGGGTGGTGGTTACAGTTTCTTTGGGGTAAATTCCTAGTAGTGGAATTACTGGGTCAAATGATACTTCTATTTGAAACTTTTTGAGAAAGCGCCATACTGCCTTCCATAGTGGTTGTACCATTTTACATTCCCACCACCAGTGAATTCACAGTTCCAGTTTCTCCACAACCTCATATTTGATGTTTGCAGTTCTGTTAAATTTTGCTATTCTTACTGAGGTGAGATGGTATCTCATAGTTATTTTAAAATCCATTAAGACACAATCTTTTTTCCAGTAAGAGGGCCAGGAAAGGAGAACATGGTCATTTAAGGATGGAATGTGATTAGGAAAAGTGTGTTGTTGGAGTCTTCACCTCTGCAGTCTGGGCATTAAACACAATGATAATGGATAATTATGAAGTTGGAAGTGAATTTTTTTTTCCAGTTTTAACTATACTTTTATTTCATCAGAATTAAAGAAAGCAGAACTTTAACTACAACAAAAAAAGCTAACAATTCAGAGTTTTCAGCTTCAGGGAAACCTTTGGAGGTAATTTTGTAAATTGGTATTAACCAGAACAATCATCACAGAATGTTGGAGAAGCATATTGAAAACAAGGAAAAGTTAAGAGCATGTACCAAATGGGAGAAAAGAACGAGTAACAGAAAACAGCAGCACAGGGATGAAAAACTTTGTAAAGAAAAGATTCAAAAACCTTGCAAAGTGTGTGTGTGTGTGGGAGAGGGGAAGCGACTTCTAACTCCCAATTCTATTAACTGGTATTTTTCTCCCCCTAACTAGATACTGGTTTTCTTCTCCAGAGAAGGTTCAATCTTTGGAGTTCATGGTTCTTTAATTAATACTTGTTCTGAGGAAGTGAATTTTTAAATTGTATTCAAGATGTCTGAGGGACGGTGGTATGTACCAACTGGAAACCACTTGATTTTTTTTTATCATAAAGTTTTTCCCCATTAAAATTTGCCCAAGTCACACATTTCAGATAACTAGGACTGCAAAGCTTAACAGTCTATAATAGAGATCAACTATCTACCAGCAAACACCAACTTCACTGCAATGAAATAGCATCACACTGTTAGGTCTGAACTGCCCCAGAGCTGGACCTACAGGGTGCTGTCAGAGGCAGTAAATCATATCGCCCATCTTGATCCCTCAGAGCAGCTGCTGGACTCAAACCTTAAACCCTTGTGTTGGCAGCACAATTCCTTACCACTAAGCCATCAGAGTTCGATAACATGAAACTAGTAGTGAGGGTTTGAGAGTCTATATAGCAGAAAGAGAAAGTAGACTGCTGGACACGATCAAATTAAATATGTACTTTATTCTTATGAATAAGCCTGAACAGGGCTCAGCAGCGTCTAATCAGGAACCACAGATCCAACAGCAAAAATAAGTCTTGGGAGTATAAAATGTTTCCACTTCAGGCTTTCCTTCTACTCCCAGATTTTAAGTCCCTCCAGTAAATAGGTTATCACATTTTATAGGATAGATGGTGAAATGCATAAACATAGTAAATACTAATAGGTGGTGATTAATAACTCAGTTTATTAACTAGTTTAATAAAATAAAACCATACAGTGAAAGTAACAGTTCTTTATAAGCTTTTCTTTTTAATGAAAAGAAGAGGTGCAGGCAATTTGTCATCTTAACTCGTGACAATGACAATCGGAAGAACAAAGCATTCTTGTGAGCAAAGGTGACAGACAGGCTGCCCAGGGAAAGCAACACTAGCATGTCGAGGCCCTGGAGTGCTTCTAAACATCACTGGTCACAAAGCAGTCCCACGGGGAATCCAGGGAGGAGCCTCCCTGCCTGTGGGGACCCTCACTCCAGCATCAGCTCCCCTTTGGTGTGCCTCTTCATTCTCGAGTATGGGCTCACTGTATCGTCCATCACAAAGTCATACAGCACCCTGACCCAAGAGTCATAGTGCGGCAGACTGTCGTAGTATTCAGATGCAATTTTCCTCACCTGAAAGGGAAAAGGCACACGGAGGTGAGTGCCAGGCACTTCTGGGTCCTGAGCACAGAGTTTGTTTCAAGAAAACCCTCAACAGGGGACATGATCTCCCTCTCACAAGGGGAACCCACCAAAATCCTTCAGCAACCCTAAGCAAAAGGTAGCATGCACTTCAGTTGTTAATTCCAGTGACCCTTTGGGAACTCTCACATGTAAGAAAAACATGAACTTCAGGAATCTTTGGCAGAAAGCAGCACAGCATACACTTCAATCACTAAAAATAGTCACCCTGTCTCCCTCCTACCACGTTCTCAGAGGCTAAATGGCAGGTTTATCTGTAACATTTGGCACATGGATTCTTTAACGAGCACATGCAATTCAATTCATTTAGAGTTTTTTAAGCAGATACTGTGTTGGATGTAAAGGTAATTAATACCCTGACTTCAAGGAGCCTGAAAATACTAAAACCACCACTGTGGACCACACATGTCAAGGGTATATTTGTGTCATCCGGAGGGGCCATGCCTGCAACCACAGTCCTTGAAGTAGCCTGTCACTGGCTGGCATGTTGTTATGGACCACTTTTAGTAGAGCCTTTGGGCTACAACAGACAAGCGAGAAAGGCTTGGTGTTCTACTTCAGTAAAGCACCCAAAGAAAACATTACTGGACAAAGGTCCAATCTGCTTGTACACAAGGTCTCTGTGAGCTGGGGCTCAAATCAGCTAATAGGAGAGGGACCACACTCTATGCACATTGAATTTACAGTGTTAAAGCCACAGCAATCTATTTCTTTTAACAGCTAGGACAGAAAATACAATGTCAATAGAAAAAGTAAAGTACCAAGGTCACTTTAGAGCCTAAATAAGCATTCAGAGCCAGGTCAAAGCAAAACATTCCTTAAGACCAAAAAATATGCGGTAAATCATAATAATGTGAAGGTCATACTATAAGTTTCTAACTTAAAAGCTTTTAAGGACTCAAGGTAAAAAATGGCTAAATTACTTAACATTTGTTATTGCTATGTGAGTATGACTCTTAAGTGACCTTATGAGCAAGAGATATGACCCTTGTCCTGCCCTCACCATTTCTGACACGCCTGAGCCCACTGCTACAGTCAATTCAGTTTGTTAAGGGGCATCCTCTCTTTTCCCTGCCTAGTTGTTGAAATGAGGAAACCTCGAGGATTTATTAGCTAAGCATCTAATTTGACTTTAGTACTAACTCAATATTTGATTTAAATACTGACAGGACCCAGATGTCTTTCTCCAGCAGTAGTTAACTGCTTGTTTTTCTATCTGTGACTCATTAGAAAACAGACACTCTAAAGTGTTCTGTAAATACAAGTTCAACACTAGAGTAGGGTATTCAATTAAAAACCTTGCTAAAAAATGTTCTGTGACTATGGCAATGGTTGCACAGGCCTGTGGATACAAAAGCCATTAAGTGGGTGTTAAATTAAATCACCTTCTTGTCTACCTATTGTCAGTACCAGGCTCCCTGATGAAACTGAACAAGACACTCCTTGGTCCACAGGAGAGAGAAGACAGGAAAGGGAGGCCAGCCAGACAATATAAGGATGTCTGGGAGCTGGACAGGCAGTCAGAAAACCAGAGGAGATGAGCAAGGACCAGCTGCAGAGGTACTGCGATCCAGCAGTAACCTGCAGCCAACGTCTTAAGTGTCTGGGTCTGAGGCCTGGGCCAGTTCACACAGCACAAGCAAGGAGTGTGGGTTTGTGCACAAAACGACTGCCTTTGTCCAAAATTCTGTAGATGATAAAAACAAAAACTCACTTCCCTATTTAGGAAAAAAAGGAGCACTGGTGGCCAATTGGTAAAGGAGCTGCACTGTCAATCCAAAGGCATGCAGCTCGAATTCACCAGCTGCTTCATGGGAGAAAGACAGGCTACCTCCTCTCATGGGATTTACAGTCTCTGAAGAACCACTGGAGGGTCAGCTATGAGTCAGTTCTGACTCAAAAGAACACAAATTAGGAACAATTTCGAAAGAAGGTCACCAGAGCCTACAGAGGCCACCTTATTTGAACATGTGGGCACGTGACACAGAGCGTCTGTGCACTAGACCACCTGGAGCACAATCCCAGAGACCCTTCTGTCAGCTGGTACGTGTCTCTCCCTCTTCTTATTTTGAGAAACGAACACCCTTTACCTCACTTCACACTTATACACAGCAACCAGAATTCTCTACACATAGAAACTCCCACATTGGTTTTGTTGCTGACCTTTTGAAATTATGGGTATGATGAGACAATTTACCCCTAGTATTTCACCTTGATTATTACAATATGTATCTTTATTGTGTTTAAATTGATATCATATCCTACAATCTAAAGTCATCTGATCCAGAGTCTAGAGCCAAATTCTCCCCACTGATTCAATTGCCCTCAGAGCCATTTCCTGTCCAATCAAAACCCACACATTTATTTGTCATGTAATGGTAACTTTTAAACAGACATTTAAGAAGAGGAAACCTAGAAAATGTAACTGGGGATATATATATATATAACAGCGTAAAATATTTCAATACAGTTTATTATTTTAGCTAAGCAAATCAGGAATACTAATATTACATTGTATACTATTATGCTTTTTAGGATTATAAAAATTTTCTTTTTTTCATACTGGACTGCAAAAGCTACCTATTTTGAAAGGATCCCTGGTGGCAGTTTGAATTCACCAGTAGCTCTGAGAAAGATAGGCCATCTGATGTCATTAGATGCCATCGAATCGACCATGACTGATAATGACCAACAGACGTGCCTGTGCCCTGTCTGGTGCCTCCTCATGTTCTGACATATCTGACATAAGAAAGCCCACTGGTACAGTCCCTCTATCAGTCCACCTCATGGAGGGGCCTCCTCTCTTCCTACAGTCCTGCAACTTTCCCAGCACGACATCTTTTCCCAAGAACTGGCCCCTCCTGACAACATGCACAAAGTGTCCTCTGGTAAAGAGTCACCGCCTCAGAAACCCTGTGGAGGGCCACCGAGAGTCCTAACAACTCTGTCAGAAGAAATTAGGGCAATCATCGGTGTGGAACAGATGAGAGTCAAGCGTCACATAAGTCAACAAACAGAACACTCCAGGCCACGGCAGACAAGCGGCGGCATCGTCCATTTCCTTTGGATTTCACACTACACCTCCCTGTGAGGCCATTCAGGCTAACTTGGGTCAGCTTATTGGAGAAGTAGGTTACACAAACTTCCTCATTTTAGGGGGAGGTAGGCTTCTGCTCTTGAAATGCTATGCAAGTTTGACCACTCCTTCAATATTTTTAAACTTTAAAATTACTGAAATATTATTATAAAATTATAAATATATTGGTATGATTATAAAAATATTTATAATATATGAAGATTAACCACTAGGCTGAGAGACCCAGGAGAGGGAACTCTTAGTTGTAAAATTAAGTGGAGACACTCCGGATGGCTAAGTTTTATTATTCTTCTGATGAACAAACTAGACTGACAAGATATACTAGATTCTTTTTCAGTGACTCAAGATTCATTTTTTAAATGTATAAGCATCAGAAATTGGAATAATGTAATAATAACCTAATCTTTTACTTACCAGTGGAAGGTTTTTGCCAGGAATGTTGGGGAAGTCATGATGTTCATTGTGATAACCCACATTGAAGGTAAGGAGATTCAGAGGTCCATAGTAAGAGTAAGTTTCATGTCCCTTTAAGAACATGTAATGCTCAGCTATAAAATGTCCAGAAATTGGGTGCAAACCCAGACCAAGGAAGGATGCTGCCAACATATATACTAAAGATTTAACTCCCAGAAGGTAGTAAATCAAAATGTCAAAAGTGATTTGGACTACAACATTGATTATCTCCAGGTAAGAAATAGATTTGGGATTGATGAATAGAGGGCGAAAAGCGTAAAAGAAAGGTTGAAGAACAACCCATACAAACTTCCTCAGAGTGGTACAGAAAAACCAGCCCTCAAAATCGGTGGGAATATCCACATCAACGCCGTCATTTCCAAGGTATCGATGGTGGTCCATGTGATACCTCTTAAAAGAAATGGAGTATGGAACACCAATAGGCAGGTTAGCAAACATTCCAAACCAGCGATTCCACATGGCTTTGTAGTGCCCAAAGGCACTGTTGTGGGAAATCTCATGAATTGCCAAAGTTACTGAGTGATTAATGCAGCCGCCAAAGGCATAGGCCCAAAACAGGAGCCATTTCCAGTCCAAGTCCTTCACCAGGTACAGTGCCACCAACTGGGTGATGACCATCCCAATCACGATCCAGATCAGATTGGAATCAGGCTTCATCAAGGACTTTATCTCTGGGTACTTTGCTGTAACGAGAAAGGCAGACAAATCAGGAACTGAGAAAAGTACCTATTATTTGAACAATTCTAATTAGATCAAGGAGCTCTGGTGGTTAATAGGGAGCTGTGCTGCTAACACAAAGGGGGCACCTTTCTGGCAGTTCCAATCCCCCGCAGGCACCACTGACCCTTGGTTCACAACCTCCGGACAAGAGGCTGCAGGACTAGAGAGGAGTGTGTTTCACCTCCACAACAAAGAGAAAGCTAAGAATGACATCGACCCTTAAATATCATTTCCTTCTTTCCCCAAATCATCATATTCCATTGATTAGTAAAGGAACGTACCTAAATAAACATTACTGAGAATTTATATGTAGGAAAATCTAACCTCAACACCGAGAATCTAAAAAAAAATCCCCATAAAACAAGAAGATAGGCAAAGAGCAGTCATAGACACCACATTCCTGAGATTCCCTAGGGGTTAAATTTTAAAATGATAGGGAGAATGCACACACACACAAAATGTGCATGAATGGCTGAATGAAAAGAATCTTTCACTCAAATCACAATTTATAAAAAGCACACCAGGTGGACAATTTCAGTAACATTCTTCTTCAATTTTTTTTATGTTTCAAAAATATTCATCACTGATTCCTTTATAACCCTCACAAATTATTTGCACACTATGTATGCTTTCCAATGCTGCATTCATAAACGTCTTCTCACTTTTACCTTCACTCGTCTTAAATGTCTTTTATCTATGTGCTAATTTTACTCCCATCTCCCTCCCTTCTTAACCCTAGTAACCATCCAACATTCTTTCTGTGCATAAATCTTTCTTCAGCTTTTTTATACAGTACCTGTTTTTATTGACTGACTTATTTGACTTAACATAACATCCTCTAAATGAATTTATGTTGTTACTGTTAGATACCACTGACTGGATAATGACTCGTAACGACCCTATGAAGAATGGACGTGAATCCTGCTCTATCCTGTGCCATCCCCAAGATCTGACATACTTGACCCCATTGTTACGGTAACAGTGTCAATTCATTTTGTTGAGGGTGTTCCTCTTTTCTGCTGTCCCTTCCAAGCATGATGTCCCTTTCTTCCAAGGGCTGGTCCTTCCTAACAACATACTTAAAGTATTTAAGACAAAGTTTCACTGTCTTTGCCTATACCGAGCAACCTGGTTGTACTTTTTCCAGGACATACTTGTTTGTTCTTCTGACAGTCCATGGGGTGTTCAGTACTCCTGCCCAACACCACAAAGCAAAGGTATCATCAATTGTTCTGTCATCCTTATTCATTGCCTAACTTCCACATGCATAGCAAGTAAGTGAAAAGACCATGGCTTGAATCAGGTATACCTTAGTCTTTAGACTGACCTTGCTGCTCCTTAACACCTTTGAGAGGTCCTTGACAGATTTTCCCAATGCAATGTGCCTTCTGATTTCTTGACTTGCTGGTATCACAGGTATTGATTGTGGATCCAAGCAAGATGAAATTGTGACAACTTCAATCTTCTCTCCATCTACTGCAATGTTGTCTACTGGCCCAGTGGTGAGGATTTTTGTCTTTGTGAAGTCACGTAATACTTGGTTAATTCTGGTTTGGGTTTTTTCAGTGTTGCATAGTACTCCACTGTGTGAATGTACCAGTTTCTTTACTAGATAACCAGAATATCCTCAACCACCCGGGAGCCTGAGTGGTGTGGTGCTTGTCTACTAAGATCAAGGCTGGAAGTTCATGCCCGCTAGCCTCTTCTCAGGAGGAAGCAGTGGCAGAAGGAGGTGTCCCTAAACACCAGTCTTGGGAATCGCACGGCAGAGCCAGGACAGCCAGATCTTAACTTCTAACCAGTTCCCTTCTGTTGGATATTTAGATTTTTAAAACTGTTATCATTTATAGATAATATTATTTTGTTCTGTTGAATAATTTCCTTAATTTCCAGAGAATTCTACTGATTTTCAATTCCACTTTCCTTTAGAATTTCAGGATTAATAAATCTGTGTTGCATCCTACGTGCTAAATCAAGTATCATGGAAAAGGCCCATTTATAAAAGCTGTGCCTTTCAAGGGGTTTTCGCTGCCTATCACCATTCAGAAAATAAGAAATGCACATGAAGTATTGAAAGAATGAAGATCTTTGGGTTGGGAGTGTCCAGCCTGCTGGGCCTACAACAGGAAAATGAAAACCTTTTTCATTAGAGAGGTAACTTAGAATGCTCTTTAAAAGGTAAGGGAGAAATGCTAAATGTGGAACATTATTGAATGGAAGAATGCAACAGACACTAATAATGCAAAACAGGAAGTCATTTATGTCCAGTTCACACAGCTGAAATAAGGGCAATGGTAACTCAAGTAATAATCCTCTCCTCAATTCTTTCCCCTTTTCTCTCTCTTGTCTTGGTTGGTATATAACTAATTTTTACAAATGTTAGCAACTTGTAGGCAACCGATTGAAAAAAAAAGGCATCCTACAGGATCAAAGTGATCTATGACTAGTCGAGCAACTCTCAGACACTAGAATAGCAACTCCCATATAAGCTAGCAGATGAGAGGAATGATTCTTTTATATTGTATTTAGGGAGCTCCAGCATCTTTACCTTAAAGAAAACTTAATGTCACAACTGTACATGGAGATACTGCTGAAAGGTCTTATACTTTACTGTATATATTTTCACCATAAGAGAAGGAGTAGAAAACATATATGCACAGTCCTTTCAGACAAATAAATTTGCCCAAGTAGTTTTCTGGCTATCAAATTTTTACAAAGCTGTAATAATATATAAAAATCAATACAAGGATGCCAGGACAATTAAACATGGAAACAGAAGTAACTTCTTTTGTTATGTGGATAAAACCCAAATGGTACTGGATCCAATTGGATCATCATTCTACAACATGCTGTTGGAATCCTACCCCACACAATATATGAAAATGGATTCATTATGTATGACTCATTAGATCACACTAGAATAGTTAAAATTCTTAGAGGTATAGCAGTACTTGAAAATTTGGGAGTTTTGGTTTCTTAGATACTTTACTCAAAGAACAAGAAACAAAAGAGGATTACAGACAAATTCAATTACATCAAAAATTGTTAGGTAGAGAAAAACCACCCCAAATGGAAGAAAATGCCTGCAAATTATGCATCTGATATGGGACTTGTATCCAGAAAACACATAGAACTATTATAAATCAACAATGAGACAATTAACTAGAAATGGACCAAAGGTCTGAATAAATTTTCTCCAGAGATAGACAAATGCCAGAGAAGTACATGAAAAGCTGCTCAGCACCATTATGTGAGGTGGCTTCAATTTGACTACGTCTCAGAGTGACCCTATCACCAGTAGCTTGGGACTCTGCCCTACCTTGTGAGACTCAATGCTGAAGTCACTGGAGGGTTTTCCTTTCTCTGACAATCTAACTTTCACAGTATGGAGTCTTTTCCCAAGGACTGGTCCCTCCTGACAAGATGCTTTACATGTGAGACAAACTTTCACTGTCCTTGCCTCTACGGAGCACCACATGTACCTCCTCCCACAGAGACTTTCCTATTTTGCGGACAGCATATGGGATATTCAATTTTCTCTGCCATATCATAATTCCACCATACTAGCTCATTGCTGTGGAGTCAGAACCCACAGTAGGTATTCAGATACTCTAAATTGCAAAAGAGATTACTGCCTGGCTTTCTCCTGTGGGGAACAGCTGGTGGATTCAAACCACTTGAGTTCGGGTTGGCAGTGCACCTCCTAATCCACTAGCCACTAGAGCCCCCTTAACTCAGGCATTAGGGAAATGCAAACGGAATCATTATGAGATATTATTTTTAACTCATTAACCAAAATTAATACTTGGCCCAGGAAGCAGTAGTCAGAACAGAGCAGGGAACACTGTATGATTCAGGATCAGGAAACGTGTAAAACTTTTTCAATCTATCTGCAGAACAGATCATTCAGGAAGCTGGACTCTATGAGAAGTATGGCATTAGGATTGGAGGAAGCCTAATCAATCTGCGTTATGCAAATAAAACAATCTTGCTTGCTAAAACTAAGGAGGACATGAGGTGTCTGCTGCAGAAGGTCAGGAACTGTGGTCTTCAATATGGATTGAAGCTCAACATTAAGAAAACAAAGATTATCACCAGTGGACCAACAGGCAGCTTCATGATGGATACACAGATTATGACTGTTAATACCTTCTGCTTGCTTGTTTCCACAGTCAACACTCTTGGCACCAACAGTCAGGAAATCAAAAGAAAATTTGCACTGGGAAACTGCTGTCAGGGACCTCTCTAGAGTACTGAAGAACAACAATGTCAGTCTGGAGACTAAGGTGCTTCTGATCCAGGCAATTACTTGTAGTGTTTCAGAGCTGGACAATAACTAGGGACAACAGAAGGATTAATGGGCTGCCAGGAGAACAAACAGATCTGTCTTAAAGAGGACGAATCCAAGCTGCTCCCTGGAAGCAATGATTTTGATGCTCCATCTCACATGACCAGGAGGGACCAATCCTTGGAGAAGGACATCATACTTGGATGGGTGGAGGGTCAGTGCAGGAGGAAGACTCAGGACGAGATAGACTGACTCAGATTGGAGCAATGTAATTAGGTTTATTGGAGATGATGAGATTGGCTCAGGATAGGTCAAGGTTCAGAGCTCATGTACATAGGGTCACTATGAGTCACAGGCAACTTGATGGCACATGACAGTAACAACAATTAAAATTACTACTGATCCAATTCCAACTCATACTGACCCTCCAATGAGATTTTAGAGGCAGTCAATCACACAGGAGGAGAATGCCCATCTCTCTCCCATGGAGCTGCTGGTGCATTTGAACTGTGTGCTTTTGGGTTGGCAACACAGCTCCTTAACACTAGGCCAGCAGAATTTCCTAGCAACCCTAACGGACATGGGAAAACTGTTTTACTGGATTTCTAAAAGCAACAATGTCAGTCAAGAGACTTAAGGTGAGCCTGATATAGGCCATGGTCTTCACAACTGCTTGCTATGCATCTGAGAGCTGGACAAAGACTAAGAATGATAGAAGAATTATCAATGCTTTTGAGCTGTGGTCCTGGAGAAGAGTAATGTATACAACATGGACTGCTAAGAGAAAAAAACAGGTCTGCCCTGGAGAAAGTAAAAAAAAACCAGGTTGCTCCTTGGAGGCAAGGATTTTGAAGCTCCATCTCACATACTTTGGGCACATTGCCAGGAGAGACCAAGCCTTGAAGGATAATATGCTTGGAAAGGTAGAGGGTCAGCACAGGAGAGGAATAACCAGGATGAGATGGACTGATACCGTGACTGTGTCCGTGGTGTCAGGTGTGTCACAGATGGTGAGGATGGCTCAGGATAGGGCGATGTTCAGATCTACTGTTCCTAGGGTCACTATTAGTGTCTGTTGACTTGAGAGTACACACAACAATCATCTTTACAGAAGCAGACTTCTGCAGTGGCTGGATCCTAACCTCTGGGTTAGCTGTTCAGTCATGCCTATTAGGATGGCTTATCATAAAAGACAACAGGATGTGTTCAAACAGGAATGCATACACTGCCTGAGGGGATATCAAATGGTGTACCTACTTTGGAAAATGCTTGTAATTTTATTTCCCCTTTTGCACTACAATCCCAAGGGCACATGGGTTCAAATCCACCAACTGCTCTGTGGACAAAGGATGACCAATCTCCACCCATGTGATTTACTGCCTCTGAAAACCACTAGGAGGTCAGCTACAGGTCAGTTTGACTGGACAGTTAAAGTGCTCTTGCATGGTTGGATTTCTCTAATCACTAACGACGTGATCACCTTTCCATGAGCAGAGTAGTCATCTGCAAACCTTTTTTTGGGGAAGTTTATTCAAATCCTTTGCCTATTTTTAAACTGGGTTGTCTGCCTCTCTGCTGTTCAGTTGCATAAAACTTTTTTAAAAAAGAAATATTTGTCATCAATTTGTTGATTCCCTTCTCCTTGACTTTGAGAGTTGCTGTTGTTGTTGCGTACCACTCATAGAGACCCCATGAACAACAGACCCTGAATCATCCTCGCCAGCTCTGACACATTCAAGCCCACTGCACACTCTGTGTCAATCCACCTCCTTGAGGGTCTTCTGCTTTTTTGCTGACCACGTTTCCAAGCATGATGTCCTCTTCCAGGAAGAGCCTTGCTGGAGTTATAGGAATTCTTCAGATAGTCTGGGTATTAAGCCCTTTGGGATATACGGCTCCCAAGCACTCTTTCCCATTCTGTAGACTGTCTCTTTCTTTAGATAGTCCCTAATGAACAAACTTATTTCATTTTTAGGAAGTCAACTTTATTGTTCCTTGTGACTTATCTACCCATGTGCTACCAAGGCTCCTTATGAATCTACTGTCAAAAACAGGTCTTAAGGAGACTTTCACAATGTGGTCTTCTAACAGTTTTATGATATAGTTCTTAGTGACCCATCTGTTGTTAACTTGTATAGCTGGTTTGAGCCTAACTCATAATTTCATTTGCATGTAGCCATTGCACAGGTTTGCCTTGAGTCAGAATTAATTAAACAGCCACTGAATAACAACAATCCAGCCATCCCTGCAATATCTGTTGAAGAGCTAATATTTCCTCTTTAAATGCACTTGTTATTCTTATTGCAAACTACCAACTGGCTACAGATACAGCAAAGAAACTTATTAAGTGAACTTGTAAGATGAACACAAAGTGTAAATTTACAGCTGGTTGGCAAACAACATCTGTTTTCTATCATGTCTCTCTGCCCCTGGAAAGCTGACACAAATGTTGGGAGTATTTCTCTGCATTTAAGTACAACAACAAAAACCAAAAAAATACACCTCACCCTTGATAACTTTCCAAAAGTTATGCCAGCTCCATCCTTGAAATGGGGTATCAGAGAATGAAAAAATGACTAGATTTTCAACACTACGTATGTAGTTCTCTTCCTTCTTCAGGGAGCACTGATAGCCTAGTCTGCAGGGGCTTCTAACCTCTCTGGTGCTTCCAATCCAACACAAGGCTCCTGAGGAGAATGATGGGCAATCTCTTCTAGATCGGTCTACGGGCTTGGAAACCTGCTGGAGGATCAGTAAGCTGTGAGCTGGTTATAACACAAGGCAACCAGTGAGTTTTCCTAAGTTAAATGGCTCAGTAGTAAGAAGTTCCTGGAAAAAGGCTCAGGGCTGAGATAAGCATCACTAAGTACTTTTTTACTTCCTTGCTTTTCTGGAAGTCAACTACATAACTACATTCTAGTACTTGGGAGGTTGTTGGTTTTTTGTTTTTTTTTCAGAAGACAGACATTAAATTCTTCTTTTGCTGCCCATTGCTAAAATATAAACCATAAGTACTTCAAGTATGCATCATCAATTGCAAAACAGATGCTTAGCTAAAATATCCAAGACATGCAAGCAGTCTAAACAATAACCTTTAGTAAACTGTAAAAGCTTAGGCTCCCAATTTATTTTCAAGATCTATTTTAAAGGGTTCCACTAACTTCTATTTTCCCCCAACTGTCCATGTTGAGGTTTTTAAAAAACACATAATTTCTAAATTCAGGTGCTTGCTGCATCTTGTCACTGGGCAAATGAATGATGACTAGAAAAATTAACATCATCCTTGGTATGAGAAAGAATTTTTCATAATCACCTCACTTGATTTTTGAAGTGATAGTAAAAAAGCTAAAAAAAATTTCTGAGGCAATCTAATTTAGATTAGAATCTCTAGCACGCTCTCGTTAGTTTTGACTTCATCTTTAAGGGTAATTGCGACCAAGTGGAGTTAGTGGGAGTATTAAATTACAGTTGTTATCCTGCTCAGTGGATGTTGGTACGGACTCATAGCTGATCCTCCAGGGAGGACATCTGAGGTAGCAAGCTGCCCAGGAGGACAGTGCTCACCTTTCTCCTGTGGAACAGCTAGTGGATTTGAACCACCTCCCTTTGGGTTAGCAGCTCAATTCCTCACCACTCATATATCAGAGCTCCTTAAGGGCCAGTCAGGCTGATGAAAAGGTTTCTAAATTAACAGTAAGGATAAACAAATGAAACAGGGCAAGTCTCTCAACTGCTTCTATTATAGTCTACTATTTGCACTCATAAAACTGGATTTGAAGAAAAGACAAATAAGAGCCTGCCCTTCTTGCCTCCTTTGAAACATCAAACGAGACCACCATCCAGTTCGAAAGGTCCCTGGGGCTACGAGAAAAAGGAAGGGTGCTGGCTCCTCCCCCGCCATACAGCGCAAGCTTGCAAGCTGTGACCCCCGAGTCCCCAGCACCTTTCCCAGGGAATCCAGCCTGGCGACCACACCCAGCCTCCCGCACATCCGCATCCCGGCCGGCCGGGGCCCTACACGTCTGACCTTCTCCAGACAGGCCGCCGGGGACGCTGCTCCGCCGAGTCTCGCCGCCGGCCACGCAGCATCCGCGTCGGCCCGTGCGGCTACGCAGCCCCACGCGCCACGCCATGCGGCGCTGCGGCCCTGTCTCCCGGCGCCGGCCCCGTCCCTCCGCTCGGCCCGTGCGGCCACGCAGCCCTGCGCGCCACGCCATGAGGCCACGTCCTCGGCGCCGGCCCAGTCCCTCCGCGCCGGCCCGAGCCTGGAGCCGCAGCCCGCTCCTGGCCTGGCCTCGGGCGCTCTCCCTGCGCGGCTGCGGGGGCGGCGGGCTCTTCTCAGGCCTCCCGGCGCCCCGGCCCACCGGGCCCGGCGTTGGAGAGCGCGCCCCGGCGGCAGAAGGCCGCGCGCGCACATAACGGGGCGCCGGGTCTCACCCAGGATTTCCCGGCGCCGGTCGGCGTGCGGCTGGTCAGTGTAGACCCACTCGAAGTCTTCTCGCGAAACGCGGCTCCCCATGGCTGCGGCTGGCCTGCTCCTGCTCCCCTCCCGGACGCGGCTCTCGGGGTCCTCGCCTCCTCCGACTCCAGCGAAGTGAGGCAGCAGCGGTTCCCGACTCGTGTCCCCGCCGGCGGGCGGAGCCGTCCGCGAGGCAGAGGTCGGGGCGGAGTCCCGAGGCCCCGCCTCGTCGGACCCGCTGCGACGTCCACATTAGAGCGTGACCGCGGGCGGCGCGGGCGGCCCCTGCATGCCGGAGGCGGGGTTCCTGCGGTCCCGGCTGCCTCCGTGCGTGCGGCCGGGAAGGGGAGGAGGGGTGAGGGGGTTGAGATTCGGGAAGGAGTGGGAATTGGGAGGGGGGCAGTCGGGAGGGGTTGGGATGTTAGTGGAGTCGGGAGGAAAGGTGTAGGAAGGTGAGGTGAGGGTCTTGGGGGATGGGAGGTGAGGGGGGATGAGTGGGGGCCGAGGGTAGGCCGTGTGGGGGTAGAAGGTGCGGGTAGAGGTTTGGAGGGAATGAAGAAGGAAAGGTCACACGTTTGATAAAGTTTTCTCTTAGCGCCTCGGTGGGTGGAGTACCTAGTTAAGGCTGGAACTTGGCCAGGTCGTGGTAGTACTTGGCCAGGAGTATATGACAGCTAATCCAAGTTGTGTTGTTAATTTATGGTCTTTATTTTAGATCCTTTGAGCCAGAGTTTACACATCGTATTTTTTTTTCAGTCAATTAAACTCATTCTTAGACATTTTGTTTTATATGAATTACAGTTGATTGACTAATTTATAATGTCTGTCTCATCAAACCCTTATTGCATATTGCCTTTTCCTTCACCTATTGCTAATTTTCAAAAGCAAACCCCCACCAGAATCAAATTCACAGCAGCAGTGGTTGTGTTTTGTTTGAGAAATAACTCAGACCGAGTTTTCCAGGGATGGGGGGAAGGAATGCAGGATATGTGGCAATTATAGATTAATAAAACGCTACTGTTGAGAAAGGAAACGCTACTGTGGAATCAGCTTTTTGTTTTGCCTGGAGTTTTTTTTTGTTGTTGTTGTTGTGACTTTATTTTACAAGGTGACCATTTATCTTACAAGGTTATTGCTCAGCCTTGTATCTCTTTGTCAAGGAAGTCAACGGAGCCACATCCTCTTCCTTCAAGAGGGGGCTTTTAGTTTCAAAATGAGTTACCATTTCCCCACCAGAATGGAGTTTTGGACTAAGATTACAAAAAAGAATGGTAGCCAAACATGATGTGCCTCTTAATAGGAACCATCACCAAAAACAAACAGAAACCACTTTTGATCAAGGCCTGTGTGGTAAGTCCTTATAAATTCCCCAGATGGCTACACTTAGTGCTATACTAGCTGAGTTGTTATTCACTTGTTTTTCTAGTTTATTTTTAACCATGTTTTACAGAACCAGATACACATCAAGCAAGTGACTGATTTTCCCTTAAACATTGTATATTGTTTGCATTTTCTATCAACCTGTGTCATTCCTCTCTTTTGCTGACCACTTTTCCAACGGAGCTCTGCTGACCTAGACGGTAAGGAGTTGCTTTGCTAACCCATTGGTTAACCTCTCTGGTGGTTCAAATCTGCCTGTGACTTCACAGGAGAAAAATGAGCAATCTCCCATGTGGGTTCACAGCATCTGAAAACCTAGTGAGTTAGGCTTTTTTCCTAAGACAACATGCCCAAAGTGTGTGAGATGAAGTTTCACCATCCTTATTTTCTAGAGTGCTTCTTCCAAGACATGTTTGTTCCTTTGGCAGCCAGTGGGATATTCATACTCTTCACAATTCAAAGGCATCACTTCTTCACCCTTCCTTGTTTGTTGTCCAACTTTCACATGCATTTGAAGCAGTTATGAATACAATGGTTTGAGCCAGGCTCTTCACGGTCCTTTAGTACCTTGGAAAAGCCCTTGACAACAGGTTTGCCTAATTCTAGATGTCTTCTGATTTCTTGATTGTGAGTCCAAGTAAAATGAAATCACTGACAACTCCCAGTTTTTTCTCCATCTATCGTGTTATTGCCTGTTTATCCAGTGGTGCAGAGTTTTGGTTATGGCTGGTTTTGTGTTTATTTTTTTAATGTTGAGATGTAATGGATACTGAAAGCTGTAGCCTTTGATCTTCTTCAGTAACTATGTTAAGACTTCTTCGCTTTCTGCAAGCAGAGTTATGTCATCTGCAAAACAAGTTGTTGATGAGTTTTTGCCAATCCTGGTGCCACAGTCTTCTTTATATAGTGTAGCTTCTTGAATTATTTGTTCAGTATCTGTTAGTCTGGGCAAAGAGGGCCAAAGAGAAGAATAAAGAATTCAGAACTCAAATGTTGATGGCCTTGCCTGCTTCAGATAAGAAGGCAAATGGCCTTGCCTGCCTGGCTAAGCGAGCAGGTGGCTCGTAAATCAGAATGGAATGTCCCTCCCTAAAGACTCTGTTTCTAAAAATCCTTCCCGGTAAGTTCACAGTGTGACTTCCCATTCTGCCTCTCCAGGATGAGGAACTCACCCGGGAGCTCCCCTTTCCCCCCTTTAATAAAGCTGCATTAAGCTTTCTCTCGTTCTCTCCAATTTCTTCTTTAAGTCCACTAACCTAACCTAACAGTATCCACATTGAATAAGTATGGAAAGAGGATATAACCCTGACAAACACCTTTTGTGATTTTTAAAACCTTGCAATATACTTTGTTCTCTTTGAACTACTACTTCATGGCCTATCTGTAAGTTTTCAATGAGTATAAGTGTTCTGGAATTCCCATTCTTCTCAATGTTATCCCTAATTGTTATGATCAATGGAATGGTTTTGCATAGTCAGTAAAATACAAGTAAATATCTTGTGGTATTCTCTGCTGGAGCCAAGACCTCTCTATTATCAGCAACACGGCCCTCATTTCCTGGTGTCTTTTGATGTATTTACTTTGAAAGCAGCTTGGTAGTTCCTCGAAAAGTTAGACAGAAGAAGCATATGATTACTCTTACATAAATTCCCAAGAGAAATGAAAAGATAATTTACATAAGAACTTGACTATTCATAGATGCAGTATTCAGAAGAACCAAAAAGTGTTAATAAACTCAAATGCTTTCCAACTGATAAGGGGATAAATAAAAAGTAAGTCCCAGTGTTACAAATGCCAATTTAAAGAGTACTCCTACTTGCTCTTGATGTTAAATAAATTTGTCCTCACTTTGAAAGAACGAAACCAACTCCTCCAGCATCCTCACACCCCTCATCTGCTCTGTGACTGATGTTTTTTGCTCTAAAAGGTAAGCTAAGTAAGAATTGTACACTCCTGTTCTGACTAACCTACAAATCCAGCTTAAAGACTTAAATACTTAGGAAAGGATCTCATTCATAACCCAAAGACTGTGTACCTGCATGGAATGCAGTTATTTGGCAGTGAAAATAAAGGTGCTAGAGGCCTGTTATGAAACCTGAGAACATTAATTAAATTAATTAATTAAATGAAAGAAGTAATCATGTTAAGATGGAATAGTAGGCAACTGTAAACTAAGAATAACACATCTGGCAACTGTTGGAATTTAAAAAAAAAAAACAAAGGAAACAAACCCAATAGGTTGTAATTGCCTAGGGCTGGCAGGGACGAGTTTGTCTGATTGAGAGAGTGATACCAAAATGTTGTTGGTGGTTTTTAAAATAATACTAGCACTTGTTGCTGTTGTAAAGTGCCACTGAGTCTTTTCCAACGCTCATAGCTAATATAGGAGAGGGTGTGCAACATCTAATTAAGTAGATCTTGGGATGATAAGGTGAATCTTGGCTTAGCTCAAATGAGGTTTATCTTGGCAGAAAAGAGAAAATAGCAGACAGATGATTGCCAGTGTTTTATTGACTATGCAAAAAATCATTCCCTTGTGTGGATCATAATAAGTTATGGTTAACACTAAAGAGAATGAGAATTCCAGGACATTTAGTTATGTGGAAACTGTACTCAGACCAAGAAAGAGGCATTTGAATAGAACAAGGGGATTCTGCATGGGTTAAAATCAGAAAAGGTGTGTGTCAAGGTTGCATTTTTTTCTCCACACCATTGCAATCTGTGTGCTGAGCAAACAATCTGAGAATGTGACATCAGGATTGAAGGCTCATCTACAACCTGCCTTATGCAGAGGACACAGCCTGGCTTGCTGAAAGGGAAGGAGACTTGAAGCGCTTCCTGAGGAAGATCAGCCACTATATAATCTTCAGTACGGATTACATCTCAAATGCAAGAAAATAAAACTCACAACTGGGCCAATAAGAAGCATAACCAGGGAAGTCAATAAGAAAGCACTGCACGTCAGCGGACCAAGGAAAGGCAGGGGCTGAAGGACGACCTAAGTCTGGGAGCAAGTCTGAACTATTGGCGATTGGTGGCTTCTGTCAGTGTGCTTGGCGGGGAGCCAGGCAGGACAGAGCGACTTGAGCAATGCTTCCTCCCTCAGTAATGCAAGCTTTGCGCAAAAACAAGATGCTGCAGTACGGAGTTCCCATGTTGTTGCTGATTGTTGGAGGTTCTTTTGGTCTTCGTGAGTTTTCACAAATCCGATATGATGCTGTGCAGAAGAAAATTGATCCTGAATTGGAAAAAAGACTGAAGATGAATAAAGTATCATTGGAGTCAGAGTATGAGAAAATGAAGGAGTGCACTTTTGAGGACTGGATTATTCAAGGACCTAGGCCTTGGGAAGATCCCAACCTCCTCCAAGGACGAAATCCAGAAACCCTTAAGACTAAGACAACCTGAATATGTTGATTCTACTTTATTTTTCACATTTTTAAATTAAAAATATTGTCAAGTGGACATCCCACCATATATTCCTATATAAAGTGGGAAGAAAATTCTAGAACCTCAGAACTCTCCAAATTCTTAACTTGATGGTTAAGTCAAAAACGTCTAGAGGAAGTCTTTATACTTTGAGGTATTCCATTTGCAAATCAAAATTGTGGTGTTGACTACATATATTTTATACCTCTCAATAAAAGTGTAGATATTTTAAAAAAAGAAGCATAACCATATGGGGGA